CCACTAAGGTTATTACCACTACTACTGCTTGCGCAAACCAATGCTAATACGAATGCTGGCACTCACACGAGTATTCATACAACGGGAAACCACCGGACATCCTGTCGCCCGCCCAACGTGGGATCCGGTAGTCCGCCTATTCGCTTCTGGGCAAGCTACAGAATGTTTGTTGACGAGCTGTTTAGGGAAACGTGGGTTACCGTGTGAGTTGGAATTCATGCGTGCTGCTGGGGAGCTAGTCCATGCGGGCGGGGTGCCCCCTCCCCGCCTCTCTTTGTCATGCCGTTGCCATCCCTACTCCTCGATAGGTCAGAGAAGTATGCCCGTCTGCTCGTTTCTGCTATTGCTTTTGCTGCATGGTTGCGCCTGACTGCGATTGCCCGTGCTGCGCGTACTTGCATGTCCGTGCTTGCGCTTGTATATTTGAATGTTTGCGTGCATGCTTGATTGCCGTTTATTGGCCTTGCGTATGCTCGGCTGCATGCTTGCTCAATGAACAGCTTGCCTGCGCCGTCTCGCGTTTCCGTGCGTTTTCCAACGTGAGAAGTTATTTGTGTGCTCTTGAGGTGCATCGTTGCATGTTCTGGCTTGCTTGCTGTTTGTATTTGCATTCAGCGCCTTCTGGCTGATGCTTGCCTGCCTGCGTGCGAGCAGGCACGAGTGGGCGCGTGGGTGCTCGCTTCCCCGCCCTCCTGCCAGCTGGCCCCCTGCGCCTGCCTGCTTGCCCGTCCGCGGCCTCTTGCCCGTCAGCGTGTCCGCCCGCGCTTGCATGTTCGCTCGCCTGCTTACGCTTGCCTGCGCGGCAACCAGCCTCCTCCGCCCCCTTCTCTGCCTCCAGCCCCGAGGCCGTGCGGTCATATTTCGAGCGGGCGCCAGGACGAGGAGGAGGAGGAGGAGGAGGACGGGAAGAGCAAGGAGGACCAGGAGGGTGAGATTGTTGAGAAGGGGGAGACCGTGGCGCTCCATAGATCCGACGGCACCTCGATGATGGCGGCCCTTGGATCGCTAGTGCGGAGATTCGTTATCGGCCCGTTATCGATGGCGCGGGCTGCGACTGCTTGTGGCAGGTTCGCGTCGTGTCGTCCGGCGGCGACCCCGCTGCCGGCGTTCTTCAATGCTGAACGCCGCCGGCGACCAGGAATCGGTCGATATTGATCAATGTGACGTCTCGGAAAGGGCCGATCGTTGAAGGTTGAACGGCCCCCGCGATGTCAGGAACCAGCGCCGGGGTCCACACGACGCGAACCTGCCGTGTGCTGGGCCTTCTGCGGCGATGGCTCCCAGCGTGCAGGACTGCACGTCCCGAGCGCCTCGCCTGCTCGCAGCCCCCTCTCCGCCGCCGCCCTCGTCCTCCCTCGCCTCCGCGGCATGGCTTCGCCACCTCGCCTCCCGACCTCGGCCCCCCCGCGCTGTGCGACCGC